TCGAGTTTTGCTGAATTTGAATATGTTGCAGAGTGGAATTAAAATTAACAGAATGATTAAATTTCAAAAGTTCAAAGAGTACAAGGACTTGAGCACAATTAAACTCCTTTTAATTTTCCATTTTCTAACCCAAAGAGACAGAGTTATAGAGCAGCGGGAGTGGTAGGCTGTTGGTTGTTGGCCTTAAAATGATGGCCCACAGCTAGTTTCTTTCTCCCTCGGCATTGGTGCAGCCGCAGTAGATCGCAGTTTGCACCAATAACAACAAGACAGGTGTCGACTTGTAGGCAGCCTTTAGATGAACAAATGACATCTTATCAACTCGAGTAAAATCGACAACAGACCATAAAATTTTATATTAAAATAATATTTTATTAATAAAAAGTATACAGATTTTTCTAAAATATGAAAATAAAATGAAAAATTTAGGGACGATCACCTTATTCAGTTCAGTCTCGATAAAAGTAAAACCCGGAGGAAGCAATCGAGCCGTGAAGGTCGCAAAAGGGCGGCCTAAACCATTTGTTCAGCACGGACTTCGATGTCCGGTTCTGATCAATCCGAGTCTGCTAAAACAGTTGTGAGACGAGCAGAATTATATAGCCAGAGCCGAGTAATGAAGGTTCTGAGCAACCGATCAGATATGGGGAAATTGCAAAATTTAATTTCTTTGGTTGGTTTTTATCTTTTCTACATTTATGCGCTGCCTCTGAAATCTCCGGATTTTGGGCCAATCCCTCTGTTTTCGTACCTTTCTTGATGCTGCTTACTCTTGCTTGATCACTCCCTTCTGTCGCCATCGTTTTTCTCTTTATCTAATTTTGCCATCGTCTGACTTAAACTCGGCCGTCTTCGCTGGTTTACGAATAAAAGTATTACGCGAATGAGTATGTGTTCTAGAATGAGTTGTTTTGTGGATGGTACTGGTAATGCCATGAAACTTTATGATGTTGCTCCATGACAAACCAACATTCCACTTACTATAAATGATATATCCACTTGAGTTAGTGTTGGATTTTTAAAAAAATAATATAATCTTTAGATTTTAATAATTTAAGGTATTTATTTTTTTATAACTTAAAAGGGAAAAAATGTTACATTCTATGTTATTTTAAAGACATTTAAGTGTTAGATAATTTATGTATGAATCAAACGATTTCGGTATAGTAGATGAATTATTGTTATTCTTTGATGTTTCTGGTTCGAGCATCAAGATTGTCAGAGGTGTGAACGTTTAATATCAATTGATTGAGAGTTATCTATGAACAAATAATGCCTTATACTTCTCTCATATTAATAAAAAAAATATAAGAGTAATAAAAATTATATCTCAGCCAGTCATCCTACAAATTAAATATTACATGGCTATTGAACATTTATAATACAAAATATAACTTCTCTATGATATAAATTATTTAAATCATTTTGATAATTTTAATTATTTATTCTCTGTTTAAGTTATACAAACCAACTTTCCTTAATGGTTAAAGGAATTGTTTTTCTTAGAGGTTACGGGTTCGAACAGTAGCAACTTCAACAAAGTAATTGAACGTTTATTCTCAAATGATTGAGAGTATTTAGAACATATATTACTTTATAATCATCTTAACATGATTATTTTTTTGCATAATTCGATTAATGTCTCTGCATGATTGAGAGTATTTAGAACATATACTACTTTATAATCATCTTAGCATAATTATTTTTTTACATAATTCGATTAATGTCTCCGCATGATTGAGTAAAATTCGACTTGACTCAAAAAATCAATTTTTTAATTCAATTCGAATCGAAAAAACTCGACTCGAATTGACTTCGAGTTACAATTTCATAAAGTCGACTCGACTCAAAAAATTTAAAGTTCAATTCGAGTTGTAAAATGCAACTTGAATAACTCGAAACTTTTAGTAATTAGTGGATATATTTTAAAGTTTAATATGATGCCTTTGACTTTGTATGATATATGTATATCACATATGAAAAAAATATGAAAAAACATATTTGTATTGTACATATGATTATAAAAAGTCACTTAAATTGAAACAAAAAATATTATAAAATTATAAATATTCATAATTAAATTTAAACGAAAAATCAAAAAATTGATTCGACTCAAATTTTATAAAATTGACTCGAAATAATTTCAATTCAACTTTGAGTTATAAAATTAAACTCGTAAACACAAATAACTTAATTTTTTTACTCGACTCGATCTAATAGTTACTCTTAATTGTGGGTAAGGAAAAGGTCTCGGATAACAGTGGGATTCGAGAAACACAGCAGGGCATGTCTCCCCCATCAATTAATTGATTGTTAAATTTGACCCACAAATTGTCGAGCATTATTATATTTAGATTTAATATTTATTTTAAATCCAAAACAGGATAGTAATTTTATTTTACGGAACCTCGTGTAATAAAAATCTGGTTTGTCCCACCACACGTTGGAATTCAACTACGAACATATATACTTGAAAGCAAAGAAAAATCAATACTCATTTGTTCAAGTAACTGTTTCCAATTGTGACCCAACATCAAAGCAGTCAAGTAAAAAGAAAGCAAAAATAAAGAAAAACTAATATATATATATATGGTTACATATTTACGATATACGTGTAATTTCCACAGATTGAACCAACCAATGGGCGGGCAGCGTCGGATGAAAAAGCCTGTCAAAACCCTACCACACATTTGATGTGATTCAAAACATTTTTTAAAAATAAATTGTTTGTTAATTTTATCTACGAATATATAATATGATTAGTGTTATATGAAATAATATTTTAGCATCCCTAGTTTGACTTGCACTTTTGTTTCTCAGTTCTCACTCCGAATTCATCGACAGAAACGTAAGCAAATCATCCCCGTCCACTGTTTATTAGCTTACAGGCACATTTTGAAGTGAAAATATCTTTGTATAAGCATGATTAGGAACGAATACAAAAATTTATGTTTGGAGTTTGAACTTTAAAAGTTATATTGAAATTTTAAAAATATAAGAATGTATGATTACGAAATTAGATAAATAATGAAAAATATAAAAAAATCTAAAATATTATATAATCGGAAAATTATATGGGGTGCGGTGCGAATGCACCCCCAACCAAAATGGATCGAGGGGGTGAGGCAGTGACTCTGAAAATTGAAAATTTTTTATATATTTTTTATTGAAAGTCTGTTTTCACTTCTTAAAATTTTAATTCGTTCCCGAAAATTAAAATTTATCCCCTAACATATAATCTTACATTTGTACCCCTCTATCTAGCCCAAAATATACATATAGATTAACAAATATAATTAGTGATACTTCTTATGATCTCAAAATTTGGAGTCTCATAATTATTTTTCTTATGATGTGCACACAAATGCTTGGCTGGAATGTGGTGATGCCACTCTCGACCATTTCTTTTTCTTTCTTCCAGTTTCCACAACGGAAACAAAATTAATTATTTAATAATCATTGAACTTTTATAATTATCTAATCTAAATTCTTTTTAATGTTTAATTTGATTCCATTATTAAATATAATTTTTTTCATCTCATATTCTTTGTCTATTTCATTAACGGGTTTATTATAAATTAATTGGTTAAAAAGATTAATTCAGTTTGATTTTTTTTAAAAAAATAAATATAAAAAATCAGTCGATTATCGTTAAAAATTTACTGTTACAAAATTTTATTTTATTTCCTAAAATAAATGATTCAGTTATCTTTATCAAATTACTTGTTCAACTTATTAATAATTTTTTCTTTGATACTATGTATAATCATAATTATTAATAAAAATATCAAAAAGCCAAAAAAGCAAAAGTAGACCACGCATCACGCGCCACTCTCTCTCTCTCTCCCCCCCCCCCTCCCTCCGTTTATTTTGTTTACTTTCTCTGTCGCTACTCTGTATTCATGAACACAAGCACCCTTTACAAAAACCGCCTTCTCTCTTCATTTTGTCTATCGTTTTTTCCCTCTTGTTTTGCTGCGAACAGTGAAACACCCATTTCTATACAATGGGTTTTTCTTTTGAATTTGATTATCTTCCAAATTAACAGTGACCCTTTGTTTGTTCTCTTTCAATAATCTGTTTTTTTATATATATAAAAACTTTTTATTTATTGAGTTTCCTGTTGTTTCCTGGTAAAATATTGAAACTTTGTCTGAATCTACCAACACCCATTTCTTCAGCGATCTCAGAATCAGCTTCATTACGGGTTCGTGGTTATGTTTATTTTTCCTGGAAAGTTTTCATTAATTTTATTTGATCCGTTTGTCTGCCTTTAATCTAACGACGTTTTGTTTTAGTTGGTCATGCTTATTGATTTTTTCTTTAGTTTTGTGGGGGTTTTCGCGTCTGATGTTTGATTGATAGGTAAGGATGGCCTGATGTCCTAATCCTTCTCCTTTTCCACCTAACATTATTTTATTTATTCTCAAAACGTTTTTGATTCTTATATTTTTTTGGGGTTGCTAAATCCATGAAAGATTGTTTATTTAGCTGAAAATGAAGACAACTTGTTTTGGATTAAAACACTCTTACTCTGGCAAGAAATCTGCTAAAAAGTGTTTCCTTTTTATGTTATTTTGATGTTACTCTCTGTAAATGCTTTTCTCCGTTTTAAGTAATCAATGATTTCGCTTCTGCATATGTCCAATGATAAAGATCTTTTCAAATTTATAAATGGGGTTTGATTAAATTCCAGTCTTTGATCTTGTCTCCCTCATAGAGATCAGAATTCCGGCATTGTCCTCCTTTGGAGTAACATTGATTTAACATGTTGGCTGATCTGTTCTCTTAGTTCTTTTGTATAGCTTTCTTATTGATGATTAGATGCCTTAATTTTTTTGATTTACCATACCTTTGTAATAACAATATGTAATATGTGTTCAGGTTGTTTGACTTGTATTTGGAGAAGCCTCCAGTGTTTTCATATTTCTTCATGATCTATTGTAGTCTGAGGTGATAGATCCCCATTTAGTTTATCTTTCCTTGTTTGGTTTGATTTTGTGAAGAAATTCGATATTTTTTTGTTGAATTCTAGGGAGTTTGCTTTAGCTGCTGTTCATCATGAACGGTGAGACTTCGTGGGTCAGCCATCGCTTTGATGACACGTCGAAAGGAATCGGTGCCCCTGATTCGTTTTTGGAGCTTAGCGATGAAGGTAACAAAGAAACGACTGTAGTTTATATGGACTTGATCCTACCTGATGACTTGCTGGAACGAATCTTGGCTTATCTCCCCATTGCTAGCATTTTCCGGGCTGGTTCTGTGTGTAGAAGATGGCATGAGATTGTCAGTTCCAGACGGTTCCTATGGAACGTTTCCGATGTCCTATGGCAAAAGCCTTGGTATTTCATGTTCACAAGCTGTGATGAACCAGTTGGTTTTGCCTATGACCCAATCCTTCGGAAGTGGTACGGCATCGAACTGCCTTGCATTCAGACTCCTAACTGGATCATTGCTTCATCATGTGGCTTGGTTTGTTTCATGGACAATGACAGTAGAAATGAGATGCATGTCTGCAATCCTATCACCAATCATCGCAAGAAGCTCGAGAACCCCCCTGGTCTTAAATTCCCCGATTATAGTGCGATGTCGATCTCAGTAAATAGGACATCACACCATTATAATGTATCCATTGTGAAGTCCAAACAAGTGCCTGGTAATTTTCTCGAATGGGACGTTTCGATTCATATTTATGATTCAGAAACAATGATGTGGACGACCTCCTTGACTGAGGTATTGACAGGATGGAGAGGTGGAGACGAAAGCGTGATATGTGCCGGGATTTTGTACTTTTTGGTTTACTCAAGTGGAGTTGGAGCAGCAGAGAATCGACACGGCCTAGTTACATATAGTCTCTCTAGTCGACCATCTCCATTGATTAGGAGTTTTGTTCCGGTACCTGCCCCTCTTACTTGTGGTCGCCTGATGAACCTAAAGGAAAAGCTGGTGATGGTCGGGGGCATCGGGAAGCAAGATCGGCCTGGTATAATCAAGGGGATCGGAATCTGGGTTCTTGAAGGGAGGGATTGGGTAGAGGTTGCTCGCGTGCCCCATAAGTATTTTCAGGGGTTCGGCGAGTTGGATGATGTTTTCGCTAGTAGCGGTACTGGCGATCTCATATATATCCAAAGCTACGGTGCTCCGGCACTTCTTGTTTTCGACATGAACCTAAAACTATGGAAATGGGCGCAAAAGTGTCCGGTGTCGAAGAAATTCCCTCTTCAGCTCTTCACTGGTTTTTGCTTCGAACCGAGACTTGAATTCACTCCTTAATTTATTTACGATCGGAATTCAAGGGTGTTCATTGATCAAATTCATCCCAAATTCCCACCATTCCTTCCTCTCTCTTTTTTTTTCTCATTTGGCTTTCATTTTCAGTAACTATGATACCACTGCAGTATAAATTTATATGTTGAGATACAGCTTGATTTAGTCACCGGATTTGACTACTCTTTCCATATTGGTCCTCGAGTTATTTTAATTAAGTTTTAATTTATTAAAAATATTCAACGTGGCATTTTTATTGGCCCTCCAAGTTAAAAACTACAGGTCCAAATGGAAAGGAATGAGAAGACATCGGTTCAACTTATGTGGCAACTTGTTCCTCAAAAACCCAAACTAACTTAACCGTAATTACTGCCTATCTTAAAGTTGGAAACTTACTATTTAGCTCCCTAAAAGTTTATAAAAATGCTAAATTAGGTTCATAGCTTTTAAAAAATTTATTTAGGCAAGCAGACCATTCGAAACTGTTTTCTGAAGACCCACCATTAAATTCACAGAGCCTAACCGAGCTAACGTCCGGGACGTCAACGAACATGCAGATGTCTTGCAAGGAATAACGATCATGCATACAAAAGAAACAATCAGCCTTGTTGGAGAACTCAACGACCAACCATGTATAGGAAAAGAAAACACTTAGACGAACACTCATTGATTCATGTTATGTCGTCGGGTGGCTATATATAAATGAGAAAAATGATGGCACCAACATGTTTTGGTGAAGTTTGTTTATTAACAGTAATTGTATTTTGGAATGTAGTAGTATTATAAAGTAAAACTGGGCGAGCTTTTATCAGGACCACAATTCGAATAAGATAAAAGATGGAACAACTTTTTCAAGTGGTCCATCTCCTTGTTCTGTCATCTTGTTTCTCCACAATACTAGATTACGGTGAAAACGAATTCTAGCATGCAAAGCTTCTAAACAATGTGGAATTTACATGCACAGTATAAATAAGGTTTTTGTTTAATTTACTAAGCCTACCTACGATACTTCATTCATCGTCTTCCTCTTTGTTCTACGTTTCTTCGGACTTTTGATTTAGTCTTTTATTCTTTTCTAGGAATATCGCCCAGCCGACTTCTTTGTAATTTTTTTTCTACAACCAGATGTGGCACGTATTACCATATGATTAGAAGATTAAATTTATTAAATTAAATTAAATTTATGATCAAATTAATATAACACATAAGTATTAAGAATCAAATGTGTAATTATTCCAATCTCGTTAACTACCACATCAACTCTTTCATCAAACTTTAACGACAAGTTGCTTGATTGACAATATTTAAATATTTAAGTGATTTGATTGAAAAAATTAAAAGATCGATTGTCAAATTAAACATTATCGATTTGTAATAAAATAGTAACTAACGTTATCGAGTTATAACAAAATGGTTACTCCACAGTTATCTATGTTAAAATGATTGCGTGACACTGTTAATAAAAAGGTTAATATTTAGTTTTACCCCTAAGCTATTGCTAAAACATCGAATAGGTCCTTAAATAATGACTTTATATCTAATTTATCCCGTAAGCTTTCTAATTGGCTTCCTCGCCCATGTAGGGCGTTGGAAAAAAAATTTCCCCATATAGGGCTCAACCCAAATTATTTCTTGAACTGGAGTGTTTGTTACAGTGACCTCATTGGTCGCCAAGTGTTCCTTGCGACAAAGGCTCATCTGTTGCAGCAACTCTTCTCTCTTTCCTCGTTGTTGCAGCTCCATAGGCCGCCAAGTGCCCCATAGGTCGCCGTGTGCTCCTGGAGACCTAGGGTGGTCACTGTAACAATCACCTTACTTAAGCAAATAATTGTTTAACTGCAGTATGTGAAGAATTTTTTTCATTGCATTATTAAAACACTTTTGCCTTTCTAATTTCCCATTTTTTTAAACCAACACCATCTCGATTATATTCTAACCACTTTCCTTATGAAATGAAAATCATCCCAAAAAATATTATTTTTAACTTTAAAATTAATTGAATATATGACTTTAAATACTCATATATTTGTCTTTAATGGAAAAACTCTATTTATCTATGCAGTGTGGTTTTCATTTTGTAAGGAATATGGTTCGAATATGATTGTGGTGGTGGGATGTTTGAAAAGAACTATAAATTAGAAAACTTTTGGAATAAATTAGATATGAAATCATTGTTTAAGGACTTATTGATGTTTTAGCAATAGTTTAGGGGTAAAACTAAATATTAACCTTTTTATTAACGTTGTCACGTCATCAATTTAACAGAGATAATGATGGAGTGATCATTTTGTTATAAATCAATACCGTTAGTGATTATTTTGTTACAAATTGATATTATTGGTGACCTATTTGTTACTTTTAAAACTTTAGTAGGAAAAACGAAAACTTATTCAAACATCAGTGATCATTAGTGTAGTTTACGCCTAATAAATTAAGGAGCAAACTAGAAGGGAGAGACAAGAGAAGAAAACAGAGGAAGGTCCGCACATGCCCACAACAAGCAGCAAAGAGAGTTCTAGTCTTGGGAGGCTGATCACAAAGCAGAGAAGAACACGAGCGGAAAAGAAGAAGAAGCCAATAATAGTATACTACCAAGGAGAACTAGTGAAGAAGTTTGAAATTTAGAAAACACGGAGAGGGAGAGGGAGAGGGAGAGGGAGAGGGAGAGGGAGAGGGAGAGGGAGAGGTGATGGAAAGAAAAGGAAAGAGTGAAGGAGAAAATTGAGTTTTAATGGTGAAAATTTTGAAAGGCGGGATCCTGGTAGGGAAAAGAGCTGGCCCCTCTACTCCTCCTCCCTCTTGGAGACTCGACTTCTCTTCTCAAGATGCCACCATCCCCACTGGACATTCTATTTCGGCCAGAATACTCTGTGCTAATCTTTGGGAACTTCACCCTCATTACCCACTTCCCAGTACGCGCAAAGGAGCTGCCAAGCTTCGCCTACACCATTTTAAAGACGAGAGTTTTGTTTCTTCTGTTGAACCTCCTCACACCCCCCTCGATCAGGTACTGCGCTTGCTTTCTTACCATTTGTTGTTTTTTTTCTTAAAGTTTTAAGCTTTGGCGGTTCTTTGGGCTTCGAGTTCTGAGTTTAAGTGGGGGTGGTCAATTGTTTATTTGTTAAAGAAAGAAAAGGGGTTTGCTTTTTCTAGATTCTAATTGTTTTGGTTGCTTTGCGGTCCCTTGTCTTGCTGTTCCTTGTTCTTCTCTGTTTGTCTTTAACTCTTTCTTTTTCTTTCTTCTGCTGCTTCTTTGCTGTGGATGCTGAAGATTTTGCCTCTTTTTTGACACTAATTTGTCGAGATTCTTTGGTGTTTCGTGTCTGTTTTTGTTCTTTTTCTTTTTTCTTTTCCTGTTTCTTCTGTGGAGCGCACACATTGGTGTAGGGTAAACATGCTTGCTTTTCTTTCTTCTTTTTCCTCTCTTTAAGTTCCAGTTCCTGCTTATCTATGGCTAGTTTGAACTGAAAAGCCATGTCTTTGGATTAATGCTGTGTTCCAACTTGGGTACTAGTTAAAGTCTACCTGGAGTGTTCAGGGTCAAAAGGAACATAAAATTGCTTTCTTAGCTGCTTGATTGCCGAGTTCATTTGCTTAGAATTTTGTGCTTTGTGTGATTCATTTACTGTTTTTATTGTTTGATCGATATACATCGGCAAGTTCCTGCAAATTGATAATCGATTTCTCACCTCTAAAACCTGCCTCGGCCATCATATTCCGGTTAAGGGAGATATGGTTATATGTCTCCCATGTCACCCTTATTTAATCAAATGGATGCCTAGCCTTGTGTACTTGTATTTATAACTAATATTTTGCCCTGAATCTAACGTCAGCCAGCAAGTGCAAGTAGTTCAAGGAGGCATATTGCGGCATCGGTAAAGCAACACCGTCGATCAGTTGAAAGAAATGGCCGTGCTCTACAGTCTGTATCTCCAGCTAGTTGTGGAAGCTCACTGGAGGTCGACATCTATCCCCAGTAATCTATAGATTGGTTTCTTCTCGTTCGATAAACTGATATTATCTTGTTAACCTCGGTCATTAAGGACATTACCTTTTCTTTTCAGTAGAAGCAGATAATTTACTGCAACAGTATCGCTTAGATTCATAGTGGTTGTCTTTGCAGACAGCACATTATAAACCTGAGATCGCACCTTATACTTCTTTGGATGTCAAGGGAAGGTCCGACAGATCAGGTTATAGCCTTAAGACATCAACGGAGTTGCTCAAGGTACTCAATCGAATCTGGGCTCTTGAAGAACAGCATGTATCAAACATGTCATTGGTAAATGCTCTGAAAATGGAGCTGGACCATTCTCGGGGCCGGATCAAAGAGTTGTTGCGGGAAAAGCAAGCAGAAAGGCAAGAAATTGACAATTTGATGAAGCAAGTTGCGGAGCATAAACTTGTTAGGAAGAACAAAGAGCAAGATAGAATCAAAGCTGCCGTTCAGCCAGTGAGAGATGAGCTGGAAAAGGAGAGGAGGTTAAGAAAGCGCTCGGAAAGCCTGCACCGAAAGCTAGCTCGGGAACTCTCGGAGGTGAGATCGTCTTTTGCTAACGCTTTGAAAGAACTTGAAAGGGAGAGAAAAGCACGAATTCTGTTGGAGAACTTGTGCGATGAGTTTGCTAGGGGAATAAGAGATTACGAACAGGAGGTGCGGTTCCTTAAGCACAGGCATGAGATTGATCACGTTGATGGAGAAAACGCTGAGCGGCTGATTCTCCATATTTCAGAGGCATGGCTTGATGAGCGGATGCAGATGAAGCTAGCTGAAGGAAAAACTGATATTGCAGAAAAGAATTCGGTTGTCGACAAGTTAAGCCTCGATATAGAAACTTTTCTTGAAGCCAGGCGGTCCACTGGGTCAAGGAAAAGTGATCTTAAAGTGAATTGCTCGCATCGACACTCTTTAGAGTCCTTCCCATTAAATGAGGCTGCAAGTGCTCCTCAAGGTGCAGTCGATGAACTATATTCCAGTGATAACGAATCGCAGTGTTATGAACCGAAAAAAACTGCCAACAAAGCCCAAAGCAGTAAATCTCAGGATGCCATCAAGGGCAATAAATCTGGCAGTTTCCGAGGCCAGTTCGATGAACAAATGTCTGCCGTAGAGCCTATCCACAATAATAAAGTGAAACAGAAAGAAAGCCATGGACTGAGCTCGAGTAATGTGCTTGATAGCTTAATCAGAAAGCATTCTTTGTCATCCGAAGGTGACAAAGCTCATCCTGAGTGTAGCTTGAGGGAAGAATCATGTGTTAAATCTGTACTAAAAGGCCGACCTAATCCAGTTCGGCAAAGGGTCTTGAAGTTGACCTCTCCTGATTTCGAAAAAACAGACGCATGTCTGAATTTGCCTACAGGTTGTAAGGAGTTTACCCTGAAAGCAAAACTACTAGAAGCAAGACTAGAAGGCCGGCAATCTAGAGCAAAAGACGCAAAGGGCTCGACCTAAGTTTCAAGCAAGATGTGGTCGTCGGAGATGAAGACCGAGGATTTTGGTCCTAGTTTAATGTACTCCCAACTTTCTTTTTTGGCCTGTAATCATGGAAATAGATATGTAATGAAAAATTAACTGTTATTAGCATTGATCACTTGGAATGCTGCCCGCTTCATGGACATCAACACCATCAAATCTGTCTAGATTATAATTTCTGCAGAGTTTACAGGTTCTTTGGTAATCAGTGCATGTTTAAAATATAATCACTGTAGCATCAACTTAAATAGAAAAAAAATTTGAAAATGTATAGCTCTTTGATCATGAGGGAAAAACATTGATGTAATGTACTGGCAATAAGATTAAGAAAATACTTCTACAGGCATTAAACAAAGCAAAAGCAGTTATTAGTCGTAAACGGGGACATTAGACATTGAATCTGCAGGTATTAAACAAAGCAAAGGGGAAAGCTATGAATTTTTAAACATTTTTTATCCTTTTATCAATGCGCAGTCATGTTATGTTCATTTTATGTTAATAATGTTTATCATTTATTGTCGACAATGATATTTATTTGTATCAATCATTTTTTCTGAATTTTGTGATCGTGGTTTTAGTCATTTCCTTGTATAGTTCTTTTTGAAAAAAGCCATTAATTTTGTTTAAAATAGGAAATATCTCAATTACAATAAAGATTTACAATCATAATTATAAATTAAATATATAATTAGGGCAAATTTCTATAATCGTTAAAATAAAACTAGCAACTTAAGATCACATAAGGACAATACAAGGAGAGATTAAAACCTAACCAAGAATCTCGAACAAAGATAGATACAAATAGATCTGATCGTATTGACAAACGAACCACAAAAGAGAATCAAGCCATTGAAAGACCACCGAAAAACCATGAATCAAACTCGAGTGACGTAAAAAGCTATCCACGAACGCATAACAAGTATTCAAATCCAATTGGAGGGTTTGAAGCAAGGAAGATCAACAATATAACAAATAAGCATCATCTTGATCAGTCGTGACAATGTTAAAACAATCTTTAAAATAAAATAAGTGAAAACAACAATCAAACGACTGAAAAACATGGCATAAAGGCATATAAAACGTATCATACATGTAAACTTATTGAAAATAAAGAACAAAAATAAAAGGAAAATAAAAAATACTGACAGTTGAAACCAATATTAAAGTTGATGTTGCCGCTGATCAATAAAGATTAAAAGAAAAAGGGATAAACGACCTACTGATTAGAGAAGATTTAGGAGAGGAAAAAAACCCGATTGTATATTGAAAATTATTAATTTATACATTATGGTGATTAAAAAATTAGTTAATGGCCTAATATAATTTTTATAAAACCTTCATATAATTTTATTATATTTTTTTATTATATAATTACTGTATCCGATTTATTAATCGATTATATTCTTTCTTCACTCAATAAAACTAACCATTATTATTACTATTAGTTAAATAAGTAACTTTTAACCTTTGGTGGAACGGAATTATTATCAGTTAAAAAAACTTTAGCTTTGGTGATACGGAAGAAAGTGAATTATGATGTCGTTAAAAGCTAATTTTTGACATGAATGAGATGCAACTTTTGAGCGAGAAAAAGGGGGGGGGAATCCAAGTAGATTTTGTACATCTATGAAATTAAATACTTCAGATATTATAGTACAACTGTAGACCTATAAAGGGATGGAACATTAGTGTCCTTCCCATGGGATAGTTGGGTTTTGGGTAGAGCTGAATGGAGCTCTCCACACTTGAACGCTGAAATATGGTGTGGGCACAATGGCTACGGCAGCTATTTCATGGATACCCCTGCCCTGCCCAGCCCAAGCAGGCTAAGGGTTTGCATGAGCTAGGAGACGTGGCTTGCCTTCATATTTTGGTATTGGAGTGAAGGGAGCTCCATTTCCCCCACAAGCTCTTTCTAAAGTCCAACGCTCCCCCCATTTTCAACTAAATTTGCACTATCTGTTCAGATCCCATTAATGCTGCTTTGACCCTGTTTTTTTTTTTTTTTTTTGCTCTGGTTCAAAAAGGAAGTTCCCTTGGGTCCAAAACGAGGAAATGAGATGGTGTGCGTGTCTGCTGGTCCATGGGTGCCTCTGGGTTTCTCAGGCAAACTGGTTTATACCTTCCCCCTAATTGTGTTGCTGGTCGAGCTTTGTGTTCATGTTTTAAAAATAACTTAAATGCAGTTGGAGCAAGTTAATTATTGGTCGAGAAGGGTTTTAAAATGGTGCTAATTTGTCGAGCTGTAGCGTAGCGTGAGGACTCTTTGGCTATCGAATGTTGGTTATCATATACGAGATTGAGAGATACGAGTGTTCATTTTATTCAACATTATATAATATATACCATTGAAGATTAGTTTGGGCTGTTTGTTTACTTATTTTAGAGCCGGTGTGGGAGTTTACAACGCTCCCAAATGGAGACAAGTGCAATTCAAGGTCCTATAAAATCACGAAGTTTTATGTTAATGCAATGGTGAAATTTTATTTTAACTCTAAAAAAGTTATAATTCAATATCAACTTAATTTTGAGGGTAAGCTATGCATTTACTACTTAAACTATCAGTTTCGATCCGTTATAATACCTAAACTTTCAGATTTTTTAAATCATACATAACGTTTAGTTTTCATTTCATTTTAGAACACCGTCATTAAAAACTTAACGTGTTTAGTACTTAAACTATAAGTTCTGGTATGTTTAGTACCTAAACTTTTAATTTTTTTCAAAACTTAACGTTAAATTTTGAACGAGAGTAATAAAATAAAACAAAAACTAAATTTAAGTATGTTTTTTTAAAAAAAATAAAAAATTTAAGCACTGAAACATACAAAAATTGATAATTTAAATACTAAATGCATATATATTTTTTACTCATCCTCCATATATAAGGATTATAAAAATATTCAAATTTGATGGGCTCTGGCCCAATTATAAAATCATTTTTTAAATCTGGATTTAAGTTAAGATGAAACGAATTTTGAGAAGAAAAGAGTCGGATTAAAAAAAGTTCGGTTTAGGGTCTGCTCATCTTCCTAGTTTTCTCCCTTCTCAAATTTTGTTTATATTAAAAATTACTAAGGACACCTTTAACAAGGTTCTTCCTCATCTTCTTCAACGTATGGTTTCTTCTCATGAATTTTCTTTCTTTCCCGCTTTTCTTTTTATGGTGATTCGATTTGATTTGTATGTGTCTTTATTGGTCGTATCTTATAATGCGGTCGTATCAAGAATGCGAGCCTTCAATATTACAAGGTTAAAAGTTATATTTGAATAAATATTATCTTATAATTACTTAAATTTAATAAAAAAATCTCTTAATGATATAATTGTTTATTCATCCTAAAAATTAAAAAAAAAATCCGGATATTATGTTAACATATTTACCCTTAATTATATATTTGTAAAATTCCAAAAAAAACCTACAATGTTAAACAACCTTAGAGGATTAACTAATAAGGGTGCGTTTGGTTCACGGAATGTAAGATTACCAGTGGGAATAAAAGATTATTAGGGAATATGATTACTGGGAATGTTACATTACTGTGTTTGGTTGGTTTGGCAGGAATGTAAGATTACCGTGTTTGGTTGAAGAAATAAAAGATTACTGGAATGTATATTTTACCAAATTGTCCTTATTATATATTTGTTTTATTAACAAGTTGAAAAATATTTATATATATTTTTAAAAAAATTTAAATTCATAAAATTTATATATTTTTTTTACAAAATTAAAAATATAAAAAGGTTTAATGAAAGGGTAAAATTTTATTTTAACCCCTAAACTTCATATAAAATTTTAATTATAGATTTTTTTTATAAATCTAAAATAGTTTAAGGATAAATTTGTAATTTAACACATTCGTAGAATTTTTATTAGTCAATGACAAAATAAGGATATTTTTGAGAAACTTTTTTTAAGGGCATTTTAGTCTAAAACGTCGGTAATCTAACAATACCTATGGAAAGGGAGGTAATGACATTCCAGGTAATATACCCCAAAATATCCACTATTGATAATGTAAGATTACCGGGAATGACATTCCTGACCAACCAAACGAGGAAATGTGGATTCCATTCTTATGTGAATCTCACATTCTCACAACCAAACACATCTTAAAAGATTCTTCGAGGATAAAAGTATAAAAAGAACAAGAAAAACGACAACTACAGAGACAATATATGGATTTAATATGTCATTTAGCATGTTTACTAACTTTTATTAAAGTCAAACGATTAAAATTATCACGTGATCATTTTAAATGATCGATTTTATTTATGAACATTTAAAAACAAGACAATTTAATTAATGATTTAAAATTAAAGGTACAAACTATCTCAAAAAATTTAGAATAGCTTAAAGAATAAACTAATCTTTAAACCTTTGTATAAAATTATCTAATAAATCTTTTTTAATTAATCACTAATATCTGGATCTATCAACTGATTAATTTAGATTGAGTTTTATAGAGATCCATTATGAGACGACCCACTTAACCTAGTTTACTCCATACAAAATCGTCACAATTTAAATCCCTAACTTTACTTTATAAATATAGTATCTCGTCCACTAAACCAACTAGTTAAACCTTTAACACTTAACAATTGAATATTAAAAACAAAAATAGAAACGTGGGTGATAAAATATTAAAAAAAAATCTGAAGGACTAAGTAAAACATAAACATAGATAAGGTTAAGTGAGAGAGAAACGCAGTTTAAGGTGTATTAGTATAATTTTAGCGATGAAGTTGGTGGAGCAACTGCTTTGTACAGATAAATTGACACCACACTACCAGAAATCCAAGCAAATGGAATTTAAAAAAAATGAAAAATTAGTTTGAACAATTTCTTGCTACAAAAAGGCTGCAAATGCAAAGCTGTCTTCAGTTTTATTATGGCTGTTTACAATTTTGGTGCCTAAGCCTAAACCAAATCCATCTCCCTCGTTTTAGTTTGGGGAACTCCACTCCATATTTTCTAGGGTTTTTCTCTTGTTTTGCTATCTCATTTCATCTGTTTTTTGGTTTAGGTGGGGATCGGAATCAATGAGGGATCAATTGAATTCGGATCTTTTCGACACGAGAACTGAGATGGTCTCCGATTATTCGCGCGGGGCCTCTAGCTCCGATGGCGATTTCGCTTTCGCTTTCAACGATAGTAATTTCTCCGACCGACTTCTTCGGATTGAGATTATGGGTGGACCCCCTCAGTGCCGCCTTGATGGAGAGGGTTGCTCCAGCATCGCCGATTGGGCTCGCGACCGCAAAAGGCGTCGAGAGGACATTAAGAAGGAAACCGGTTTGTTCTTTTTTGTTCCTCTCTTTCTCACTTCTTAGAAGTCTCTTATTGCTTCTGCTTGGCTAGCTGAGAAAATATAAATTCGAAGCCTGCTTATTTAATTTGTAAATGAGATTCTTTGTGGACTTGAGTTGGTGAAGAGAAGAAACTTATCAATTGAAAATTTTGTAAAGAAAAGATGGTACTCAATTGCTATGTTCCTAAATTTGACTCACATTCTATATAATCCTGTGCTGTCTTGAAATCTTTGCGAGTATATATTTTTATAGGATTGTAGTCCGTTTCGTATTGTAGGCTGATTTTTAACGCTTTTGATTTTCTTTTCCAGTTTTGGATCTTAGTTTATGTCCAGAGGAGCAGATTTTAAATGACAACCAGCTTGATATGGACAATGGTGGAGGCTGGGAGAATCAAGTTGAGGAGCCTACGGCAATGATTGAAGAAACTCATTCAGGTTTTGATATTGTTTAGACTTTGGACAACATACCGTTTGGTTCATTTACTGCTATTTGCCATGATGCACATTCCGATCGTGCTTTGAACTTTTTTAGGTGATGAGGATGCAAATAACAATGAATCAGGCTGGAACATGGATTGTTCTACAGTTAGAGTGAAAACATTGCATATCAGTTCTCCCATTTTAGCAGCGAAAAGTCCATTCTTTTACAAGGTAAGAGATTGCTTTCTCTTCTAAAGCTTTTCCATAGGAAACGGAATGAGAGATTGTGTTTCAAGAATGCAAATATAGCTTGCATGAATATTTGTCACCCCTTTTCTTTGTTGATAATTACTTTTCGTTTACTTGTTTATTGATAAATTGTAGCTTTTCTCAAATGGTATGAGGGAGTCGGAGCAGCGACATGTAACCTTAAGAATCGATGCCTCTGGTATGCATGCCCTTCAATGTATGGTTCTTGGTTATGTTTCTTATTCGAACAAAGGCGAGCAAACTAAGTTAAATGACAACTTTGCATAATTATGTACAGAGGAAGCTGCTCTCATGGAGCTTTTGAATTTTATGTATAGCAACAACCTATCCGTTGCCACAGCCCCTGAATTGCTTGATGTGCTGATGGCTGCTGACAAATTTGAGGTTGTCTCTTGTATGAGATACTGCAGCCGGCTATTGTGCAATTTACCTATGACACCAGAGTCGGCTCTGCTTTATTTGGATCTTCCATCGAGTGTATTAATGGCTGAAGCTGTCCAACCATTGACTGACGCTGCAAAGCAGTACCTCGCTCTCCGATACAAAGACATTACCAAGTAAGCTCCTGTTCTCCGACCTGTTTGTTTTTTCTCCTTATTCTATTCTGACATGGAATTGATAGTTTTGTTAAAATTGTTATACATACCTTATGTAGTTTGAACTGCCCGTATGACTGAAATCTGATAAGTTTCCAGTCTCCATCTTATATAGTCCTAGCAATATTCTTTTGAGCTCCTCGGATCCATTTGTTCTGAAATTTTGCATTATTAACATGGACATCTGGCTTTAACGTTCATTTTCAAAATTAAAAAAAAAGAGTTTAATCCTATAGTCTTAGGAAAGCTTAAGGATAGGTGGAAGGGTGATGTTAATGACAAGAGAACAGTCCAAGCAGTGTAAATTTCGTTCTCCTTTCCCTTTCTGCTCCTCTTATTCTTTAGGCCATAGTCAAAGTAGAAATAATGCATATTTAGGTTCTTATTCTTTTGGAGCACATTTTACCAGGTTCCAAGAAGAGGTAATGGCTTTGCCACTAGCTGGGATTGAGGCAATATTGTCCAGTGATGATCTGCAAATTGCATCAGAAGATGTTGTGTATGACTTTGTATTGAAGTGGGCTAGGGCTCAGTACCCAAAGTTGGAAGACCGTAAGGAAGTGCTTGGTTCATGCCTTGCACGCTTTATTCGCTTCCCCTATATGACCTGCCGGAAGCTTAAGAAGGTGTTAACAAGTAATGATTTTGATCATGAGGTTTCATCGAAGCTTGTGCTTGAGGCCCTCTTTTTCAAGGCTGAGGCCCCACATAGACAACGAAGCTTGGCCGCAGAGGAGTCTGCCAGCTTGAACCGTCGCTTTATCGAGCGAGCCTACAAGTATCGACCCGTTAAGGTGGTGGAATTTGAACTCCCCCATCAGCAATGTGCTGTGTATCTGGACTTGAAGAAGGAAGAGTGTGCAAATTTATTCCCATCTGGACGGGTTTATTCTCAGGCTTTCCACCTGGGTGGACAGGGTTTCTTCATGTCGGCCCATTGCAACATGGACCAGCAGAGCTCTTTCCATTGCTTCGGGTTGTTTTTAGGGATGCAGGAAAAGGGTACGATTAGTTTCACAGTGGACTATGAATTTGCAGCAAGGTCAAAGCCAACAGAGGAGTTTGTTAGCAAATACAAAGGCAACTACACATTCACCGGCGGCAAGGCAGTCGGGTACCGGAATTTATTTGCTATACCCTGGACTTCTTTCATGGCTGAAGACAGCCTTTATTTCATAGATGGTATTCTCCATCTTAGGGCTGAGTTAACCATCAGGCACTAACCAACTCCTGTTTGTTGGATCGAATTTCTGTCCACTAACCCCACTTTGTTGTTATTTTGGCTCTGCAGAGCGAAAGAGAAAATGTACAAGTAAATGGATTGTAAGGTTCGTGTTGAGTTTGTATGGCTTTGGAAGTAGGTTAACATCTATGCTAATTTAATTTTCATATTTAACTACTTATTTTGAGATAATTTTAGGTCCTTGACATCAAAATCTGAATCTTTTTCAGTTTATAATTGATATCAAAATCTGGAGGTTTCCTTTAAGCCTAAACGTTAGTTACTTGGTATTTTAATCTTGTTGGAAAAGCAATAAGCTTGTTGGAGAAGTATATACTTCTTGCTCAAGTAATACATTCTATATACAGAGAAGAGAAAAAACGTTGGTTTTCTAATTTTCATTATCAAGCAGATCACAGGTTACTTTTTATTTAAAATAAATGAGCAGAGGTAGAAGACAAAACTCATCAAAACATGTCAAAGAGCAAATGAGAAATGGAAAAAGATCGAAAGCGAGTGGAAAACAAAACTGAAGAAGATAAACAAGAGCTGGTCTGCAAAACAGACGTCCAAGAATATGCTTCCGTTGTCGGCATGCTGAGCATCGATGGAATCAAGTGGCTCTGCCACATTCCCCGCAAGATGCACAAAAGGGTCTGGATCACTGATGACAACGTCCTCGTGGGACTCGGGGACTATCAGAGATGATAAGGCAGACATTATGTTGAAATACTTGCTTGAGGAGGCTCTGTGTCTTCAAGCTGACGGCAGTCCTAAGGAAGTCAAGTTGTATGAAGGGATTGACGGGGAAGATGCTGGTGCTGCCGACGACTGTTTTGAGTTTGAGGACGAATATATAGATATAGATAGGATCTAAAGTTATATGTTTTCCATATGTTCAGAACGTTATAATATTATGCTTTAATAATGCTTATGTTATCGTGTTCTCTCAAAGTAGTGTCACTCTACTGTTCAACTCCCAAACTCATGGAGAAAAGACAGATTGTATGTACATTTGAATGGAAGAAATGGGACGTTAACATGGTATATACATATATTCATAGATAGAAATTATAGTCATACACATCAAACTGAAAAAGGTATCAATCTATGAACAGACAAAATAAAAGGGTGACAAGGATTCATACAAGTCAATCCTTACAGAAAGGACCAAAAATATCATAATAATAGAAAATAAATGAACATGACATTGTTGTGCATCTATTCAGTTCCAGCGATCTTACTCTTCAGTGTCTCAATGTCCGTGGCCAGTTCTTTCCTGCTTGACTGAGGAAACAAGCATATGGTGTTAGCACATGGTTTTTAGTGTGCATATACATGATCATTCTTATTCTAAAGAGCCTGAAAACCTTAAGATTTTAGTTGTAAATTAAGCTAATTTAAACACCTCTCTTCATGCACTTGTAAGTTCTTTCTTAGAACGACTATTTAAGAAGATTATCAGGTATTAAGATTCACGAGACCATAAAGTTTAGTGAATCTCTTACCTTGAAGAGAAGGTATTTGTAGACAAACCATCCCGTGTATCCAAGTCCTACCAACTCCATTATCTTCGGAAGCTGGTTAGCACACAGAATTGCTTCAGATTGGACTAGCAACTTATTTGGAAAAGATAATGAGTTGCAGCAACTTACCAAGGGGACCGAGTTAATGGCACCGACAAGAATGGATGATAGCCAAACGGCAACCACTGCCCCACCGCCATAAAGAATAACTGTTGACTTGTTCTCAACTTTATCCCACTAGTATACATAGGAAGAAAAGCAAGTCAGTGCAACACTAAGGAGCCCGTAAATCAACATCTCAAATTTTGCGTCGTCCCTAAAATATTATAATATTATAAGTTGTCTCTAATATAAAATTATGCGTCGCCCCCGGTAACAAGATGCAGCCCTTTAAGGCTGCTGCATGAACCATTCGGATTAAGGATGTGTTCTCACCTTTTCCTTCAAGTCAGTGAAAAGCTCCCCAGCATCAACTGAGGTCTCCTCTGAGGCTTTTGTCTGAAGCAGAGAAAACCTCTTCGATTCTGTTTTGGGAATCAGAAAAATGAGAAGCCATTAAAACAATAAGCAAAGGCATACATATGCAAGAGATTTAAAGAAATGGTGTAATATATATATAAAGATTAAACTTTCAAATATGGCTAGAAGAACAAAATAAGAAAGTCAAATAAAAACTTACTATTCAGGGTAGAAATGAATGTACATTATGCAAGTGCTGAAAGGTAATCTAAGGGAAGATTACCTGGAATTAGCTTAACGGAAGATGAAAAGGAAACTGTGGAAACGCGAGAGGGAAGGGGTGGCAAGGCACTGCAGCGGGAAGTTCTAATGGCGGCCGAAAAACGTGGGACCAAAACGGCGGTGGTCACCATGGAGGATGACGATGATACAGCAGCCGCCATTTCTAAAAATTAATTTTGCGCTGTTTCGGATATGAGTGGCCGGTGCAACTCTAGAAATCCTATCCTTAGTGATAAAAGAACAAAGGAAAAGAGTTGATGTGCTAGAAACAGTGAAGAAGATGAAGGACACGTGGACAAGGTTAGGATTATGAATGGTTGGTTCTCTATTTGCAAATCCACGTTTGTCTCTCTCCTCACTAATCTTCATTTTTATTTATTTTATATATAAATAAATAAAAATGCTGACGTAATATTTTTTATAATGACATAATATTATTTTATATTGATAGGATCGTATCATTATTAATTTGTTAATATCAAATAATCAAAATGGAATTAAATTATAGCTTTAAGTATTTTTCTAAAAAATAATAATAGGATATCTAAAAATATTAAAATAATAATTAATTGATTAAATACATAATTTATCCATTATAAAACTATAAAATAATAAAGTAATTGTATTCGTACACATTTTATTTCATTTATTAATTTTTTACACAATATTTATAATTAAAAGGGTTAACTAATGATCACTTATTTTAGTGTTTTATCTACTTTTGGTCACTGATTTAAAAAACATAAGATATGTTCAATTTCGTTTTCATTTAATTAAGATATGACCACTTTCGTTTTTATTTAATTAAGATGTGGTCGCCCCGAGTTAATTTTTGTTAACAGTAGTTAAATTTTGATATAATCACACAATCGGTCCCTATTATTTACATATTCTCTCAATTTAATCCTAATTTGATATAAATCTTAAAGGTCGAATTCTCATTTTAGTCCCTTTATTATGCTTAATTTTGTGATTGTTGTTTTTTAAAAGGTAAAATACATTCTTAAATATTAAACTTTGACCATATTTTTGTTTTGATCATTGAGATATAAAAAGTTAAAATTATATTACTAAAGTTTTCTAATTCATTTTTAATAATCAATCTGATAATATTTTAACGCGGTTTATGATGTGAATTTTTTTCTTTTGTAAAAAGATCTTAAATCTTTTCAATTATCATCTACCAACGTACGTGACATAGATGGTACAACAATGTTTACCTTTTATCTCCCATTTTCTTCTCAATAATTTTGTTTTTCTCAAAATTCATTCAAGATCAATGAAAATCAATTCAGAATTTTAATCTTCTAATGCTCAAATCTTTGTCGGTAATGGTATGATGAAGTTAGTTTCATAATATATTATTTTTCTTATTGAAAGCATGTTTCGTACTATTTAAATTTTTGGTTGACCACGTCCAAAACCATTAAATCCAACAAAGTTTTTACCCCTCTAAGAAAGAAAGATATAAGTGTTAAAGTTTTGTGAATTTTATAAATATTTTGACAAAATTAAATTGATAAACGATAATAAAACAAATTTACAAGTGTCAAGACTGGCCAAAGATATAAGAGAATGTGATAAAATGATAAACAATATAATTAGAATTACTTTATCATATACATCAGTCGAATAAATCCTATAGTTAACAAACTAACATAATATATTTAAAAGTATGACTAAATTGAGGGAATATGTAAATAAAAAAGACCAAATGTGTGATTATATCAAAATATTTAACTGTTGTTAATGTCAGTTAACTCGGGGTGATTACATCTTAATTAAGTAAAAATGAAAGTGATTATATATTAATTAAATAGAAACGAAAGTAACAATATCTTATGTTTTTTTCTGGAATCAGTGACCAAAAGTAAACAAAACACAAACATGAGTGATCATCTATTTATTTAACCTTAATTAAAATTATAATAAAATGGAAAAATTCATTTTAAAAAAGGGGTAAAGTATACAAATGATCATTGACTATAGAATATTATTTTGTTGAGTCTTTCAAGTATTAAAAATTATAAAATGATCCTCAGACTATAGAATGTTATTTTCTTGAGTGTCATGATTATTAAAAGCTACAAAATGTTAACACCCTTAACCCGTATCAGACCCTGAACATGAGTCAGAGATGTCACAAAACATTTACACACAAACTACATTTGAAAACTGGTAAAATTTTGTTTCTTTAGAAATCAAACAATTTAACAAAAATAATTTAATTACGAAAAATCAAAAAGTAATATTTAAAAATATTACAGACTTTTTCGAAATGTGTACATGCCAAATAGAAATCCAAAACAATAGTAGGATGTCATTACTATTAACTGTAAATATTCTTTGATGATTGATGTCAAGCTCAGCTCCTTACTCCTCTCCCTATCTTTTACCTACCCTTGAAAATCATCACACGCTAAGTATAAACTTAGTGAGACAATATCAACTATAAAAAATAATATAAGTCATATCAGAATATAAAATATCATAATAACTAAAGTGTAATACCCCAACCCGTATCCTACCCGAATACGAGTCCGAGATGTCACATTGATTTTTAAAACCTTTATTATTGAAAAATAACAAAACATATGAACTCTTTTTGAGAAAATAGGATAATATATTGTTGAATCATGTTTGTTATAACCAATTTAAGAAAATATACGTTTTATGAACAGTGTACAGTGCCGTATGAGCATTAATGAACAGTACCGTGAACAGCGTCTAATGTTAAAATTTTTCTAGATTGCTTGAGGGGAACCGATTCCTCTGCTACAGGGTACCGATTCCCTGCTACAGTACTGCTACAGTGCTTTCGTAAAATACGTATAAATTCATAAAAATCTAAGTTTTCATCTGTATAAAATTTCCATTTACATATATACATTTGAAAACATTCAAAACTCAATCATATGATTTTATTAACCCTTTAGAATATATCAGATTCAAAACTTTATTTACATGCCAACCACTATAATAATTACAAAATACATACTATTAATTTCTTTTCTGATCTGATCTTTGGAAATGAAGAACTAACATGTCTTGCATAACTTTTATCAATCTCCCTCTTCTTAAAACCTACGCGTGAAACAATCACACGCTAAGTCGATGACTTAGTGAGGCATATAAAACATAATTATATGCTAACTGTAACTTCTGCAACGCATGAACATTTGATATTACCTTATCATACCAAAGCATATATTCTTTTCTGTAATATATACATGCATGCACATATCATGTAACATAACATCATTAAAATGCTTATCATTTCTCATTTTATCATCACTAATTTCTTTATATATCATATCATCATATAATGTGAACTCTAAATCACACCATTGCATAAACAATTACTAATCTCATATAACAAATACATTTCACTTAGGAATACATACAATATCACATATGAATCTTGTAAATACTTTTGATGTCTTTTATAGGCCCATATACATTACTGAGAACTTAAGGTATGGTGAGTATTGTGAGGTTGTGCACTATGTTGTCACCACAGCTCGTATAAATTTGCACCGAAGTGCCATGTAGAATTTGTCCCGAAGGATCGCGTAGAAATGCACCGTAGTTCCATATAAGATTTGTCCATAAGGACCACATAGAAATTTCTTAAGAATCATATACATATACCAAGGATCAAGTATGTGTCTCAAAAGACCTCATACATGTTCCAAAGAATATATATATGTCCCGAAGGACCACGAAGAATTTTATCCCGAAGGACCGCGTAGACCATCTACTCTTGGCATGCCAACTATACCTCTAGATCTCATGACACATAACATGGGCACATATAATCCATATTCATATGATCCATATCATAAAACATATATCACATGTGCATATAATCATATAAATCATATCATATAACTTATATTATTTCTCATGTGTTCATGTAATGTCATATTTTGTTAACATATGTTCATATATACATCATATATCACATATTGCATATTCATGTAAGCATGTAGATCATGTAACATATAATAACATACACCCATTTCCATATACTAATGCACATACAATAATCACATAACATTTTAAAAGTTACTTCTTACTATAGTAACTCTGTCACTGGCTCATCGCAAGCCAATGTTTATTCAATAACATACGTACAATTAAATTGCACTCACCTTAGCATTGCTTTGATTCGATCCTAATTCTTTGATTGTTCTGAAACTTATTTAGGCTCAATATCTACATAAATATAACATTTCAAAATAACTATCAGAAGCCTAAACCTTAAATTAGTTGTTAATAACTTAAGCAGTTTAATGAACCAAAATTCCATTTTTTTTCTTTAGGGGGAATCGATACCCCCCAGGGGGTATCTGTAACCCCTACGTAATTTGTAAACCCATAATTTTACTATTCTAATACTAAAATTCACTATTTCCAGCTTCAATTCTTCATATTTCATTCCCTTTTCTATTCTTAACTTAAATATACGCACTTAAACTAATTTATATCCATTTATTTCATCTTAAACCTCAAAATTCTATTCTCCATATAGAAATCAATAATCATACAAAATTTTCCATGTTATCCAAACTTAATTCTAACACTTCTAACTTCTTATTCTCATAGATGACAAGTCAAATTCATCCTCCAAATTCATTTAAACCTTCATATTCAAAATTTCACTTCAAAACTCATTTTCTTTAATCTGTCATAACTCTTTTATCTTTTGATTTTAAGATAACTTAAGCTTTCCTTAAGCTTAGTTATCATCTAATGATCAAAACCCAACCTTTAATTCAACAAATAATCAACAAAATAGAAAACTCACCTTTGAGCTTGGAGATACGGGAGGAAGAAGAATATGAAGAAGAAGGGAGAAGAGTTTGTAGATAACTCCCCCACCCCACGTGAATCATTCATATAAAAGGGGGGAAATGTCTTTCTTGTCAAATGACCATTTTGCCTTTTAATTCCTTTGATAATTACTAATAAATTTCCAGAAATATTCCCAAATAAATCATTGAACTATTCAACTATTCTACTTTAATCACCAAATTCTGAAATTTTACAATTTAGTCACTAACCCATAATTTGGGATGTTACATAAAGTACTGTAAATATCATATAAATGTATAAACAGGTAAAACAAACTTATTAAAACCATTTTTATGAACAAATAACTTGTGACATCAACATTTCATATCTAAGGCATATCATGCCAAACCAAGCATTCAGTAGGACACATG